AATTGGATGTAAACGGCATGCGAGATTCAGTTAAATGTCTAGTTAACATGTAATCACGGTTAACCTTAAGTTAAAATAATTATTAGCAAAACACCTCGAAGGCTATTTCTCTATATGTTATTCAGTTTTGGAACATATTTTCATTTTTCATATGTTCAATATATTCATATTGTTTGACTAACTAGTCAATTTCTTGTTTTGTTCATATTCTGTTTGTTTTGCCAATCAAACTATTTTATTCATATTCTAATTTATTTTAGTTTGTTTACTAAGGCAAATCTAACTCTTGATATTTTTTTCATATCCTAGTTTAGTTTTATTATTTTACTAAGGTCAATATAACTCTTGATATTTTGCTTATGTTTTAAATTTAGTTTGTTTACTAAGGCAAATCTTACTCTTGGTATTTTGTTCCTATTTTAGGTTTGTTGACTACCTAATATAATCCAAGGGATAGCTTGCAATAATGTATTCTTTAAATACCGCAGTATTCTTTTTTTTTATGATGCATTATACATGTTGATGCGGATTAAATGTGTTTAGTAACAGATTAAAATAGTGGATTGGAGTGGATTGGTAAATATTAAGATATGATCCTTGGAAGTGTGTGTGTAGTAGGTGGGGGGGGGGGGGTAGTAAAAGAAGTGAATGTTATTTATTGCAAGATTATAGTGGTTTGGAAGATTACACATTTTGAGATTGCAATAATTGATATATATTTTGCGCAGGGTTGTTGATTATAGGGTTACTGTTATAATAATTAACAAACTGACTGATTATAATTGCATACGGATTTTCATGCACCGTCTACCCTAGCTAAAAGTATTGATTAAATTATTAACCATTCATGTGCCTGGTTATGTGTAAAGGCGGATAGGCATACTGCTGACCATATCATCCCTTCATATGCCGAGGTCAAGAAACATATGAGCTATACTTCATCCGCCATTTGAATCACTAGGTCTAAATTGGAACTTTACTACATTTTTAATTAACAAACTAATACTGCGTACGAATGTTTATGTAGCCTAACCTAGAAAAAGTATTGATTAAAGTATTATTTAATAATTTATGTTCCTGATTTTGAACATATTTGAAATTATGGCTTTTTTACTAATTTGCATTAAATTTTTGTTCTCGTCAAAGTGTTCTTTCTTTTATCATTATTTTTTTTTTACTATCATACTGAGTTGATTTGCTTTTGATCCGGTTCAGAGACGGTTCTAATCTTGAAATCAGTTTAGTAGATTGGTGGCATATCCTCAGATTAGGCGATATTTGTTCTCCGCTGCACCAATTTTTTAATTTAGGGGCGGACACCCCCCCCCCCCTCCTTTCCACAATATTGCACACCCCGTAGTTTCGCCATTAGTCTTATACAGCCAGAAAAGCTCATTACAGAATCTCTAACGTTCCTTAAAATGGGTGTAGGTTGCATAAACGAACTGTCGTCTACGTTTGAAGTGAATGAAACTATAAATGATACATTAAAACAATCAAAGCACATGAAGCACACAAATGTGACTTTAATTCAACACAGGTAACGTTTCGACACCAGGTCTTCGTCAGATTTTTCCATTATAAAATTTGAAATTTAAAAAAAAAAGCTCTTTATTTGATTTATCGAACATACTTTAAATTAGTATTAAGGTTTAGATTGCACGTGACGTCATCATGTTCAGTCAAGTGAGACGAAAATTTGAGAATATAATTTTTACATAAGAAAATAAATTGTATTTAAAATGTTCAACTTTTCGAACGAACGTTACAATGCCATGCATTATCTTGCGAACGTGTTTTACGTTGTAAAATATTTAATCTGCAAGAGATTGTTTACAGGAATATTCAACCACCCAGTAAAATAAGGGCTAGGTACAACCACCGGATCAACAATGGCGTAACGAATGTGTTAGATCTTTGCCAAGTTTTAGCACACTGGCGTACCCAGGTTTACGGGGGTAGGGGGGGGGGGGCAAGATTGACCTTCACATTTGGTACGAGTTTTGATTAGTGCCAAAAAAAATATTCTATTTTAGTGTAGATCTATAGGTAAACATGTTATGATCATTGGGGGTGCTGGTCACGAGGGGGAGGTCACGAGGGGGAGGTCACGTGGCTGAGTGAAGCTGACCCCAATAACACACAGGTATGCTAGTTATATAACAACTGGGAATTATAGGTTTAACAGTACTCCCATTATAATGTAAGCCTATTTACCTTATAACTTAGTAATTGATCGTATTTATACCATAATTTTAAAATGCGTTTATATAATTAGTGTTTCTGAACCACTTTTTTCACCTTTTTTTAAAAAAATCATCCAGATACATATGTTTCTGATGACAACGCAAGAATATCTTATTTTCAATAAAATTGGATGTTAGATTAATGGTAGGTAAAATAAAAATAAAAACTGATAAAAAATAACCCTTAAAGGAACTCATTAAAATGAGACAATTGAATACGCTTTGTTTAATATAAGCATATGTAGCTAAAATGTGTAAGAGATTACTGAACGACAAATTGCTTTAATAATTAAAGTTTTATTACTTTATTTTTAGTGTATTTAAAAAGTTCTTATTATAAAATATTGTACACATTTTTTTTTGTTTTACTTGTTCATTTGTGAGTAAAATACAAAGAAAAAAAAATGATTATAAAAACAGACCATCAATGTTTTTACACAGAGCTTTACTCAGTAGGCTAAAATACAAAATTAAGCTACTATCTAGGCTGTTGCAAAGATGTAGTATTTTTGTTAATCATTGTAATTACAGCTTCCAAACTGCCGTCTGTGTTCTGTTTAATAACAGTAACACGATTAAAATAACTCCATTATTTATTCAAAATAAATTATTTAAAAAACAAAAACTGAATGAATCTTTAACCTAGTAGAAGCACCGGAAGTTCTAAGAAAAAAAACTGCTTTAGAAACTTTCATTGACGTCATCGACTATTGTCAAGGTTTCCATAACGTAAACGAAAGTTCAATAATGTATTGTTTACCACTTCCTGTGCCTGCGTTAGGAGTAACCTTCCCGAGCTATATTTAGAAAGCTTTAGTATCTTTGGTAAGTAAATTGGCTACTTATTTTTTTTAATCACCGGCATGGGATGGGGTGAATAATGAGAAATTAATTGTAGACTATTCATGGTGTAAAAATAAACGCTTATTGAATTTACTTTATAAAACAAGATGAGATTTATTTTAGGCCCGAGGCGCTAAGGAATTCTGTGTCAACAATAAATGTATCTTTGAAGATTACCCTCTTGCAAAAGACGTCACCAATTCCCTCCTCCTCCCCCCCCCCCTCCCCCCCCCCCCCCCCCAACCTCCACCTCAATCACAAGGAAACCATAATGCAAAGAAATAAAATCATTTTCATATTTAAAAAAAACAAACTAAATAACAAATGCAACTTTGCGTTTATTCAACCCGTCCATCCATCCCTCCCCCTTTTCCTCAAGCACATTTCTGAAGTCTGAGCCCCTTTCATTTAGGCGAAAGACGTCATTTAAAGATCTCTTATTCCCCGTCTGTGTTTATATTATAGTTACGTCATTTACAGTTCACAACAGCTAACCCGAAAGTGTAGAGTTTAATCCCCGTAAGTCCTAGAGTATATCCAGCTCTAATGGGTACCTGAATCACGTTATGCGTAGAACTAAACCATCATTTCATATGCCATGGTTACAGAATAAGGTGCACTCTACTTCACCTGTCCTATTGATCCTCAGGCTCGAATGTTTAGCTTTAACTTACGCCATCTCATGACCACAGCCTCCGGTTGAAGGTTTGATACAGTGCTATGTTGATTGTGTAATGTTAAATATTACATTCCTTTTTAGAGTGATCTCCCTTACGCCTAGCTTCCCACTATACAAAAGTAGTTGTACTTTAATTCTAGCTAACTACACAAGTGTCACTTCGATTCGATCTTGATTTAACACTGCCAGCTATAAAACTGAATTCGTTATAATTACCCAGAGTGCTCTTATGTTTAATGGGTTGGAGATTTTATTTGTCTTGTGATCAGCTCGATTTTTTTGAGCTCACGTGATCGCGGTTAAGCTATCTCTGAGGCTAATCTATACGGCGTAATGAGGTCCATGTTTTCGGTCGGCTGATTAGCGGCTAGAAGCTATGCCCTTGAGGATCATTGAAATCGATCAAGCGGGACGAAATCATAAAGTCGGTGGGCCGTGTAATGGCATCAGAAGTGTATTCTTTCATTTCTTGCCTTCCTTTGCTCAGTCAGCGTATAGAGAGGATAAAGTAAGAATGATTTTTTGTTCCCCAATTTTTTTTTAAAAGCCAGTGATATTTTTAGCACTACTAGACATCAAAATTAGGTTATAATGGTGGCTAAATTCAAAATATGTCTTCCATACAGAAAAAAACTTTAAAAAAAAAACTTTACTCACCTTCATCAAACCATAGTTTACATAGTGACAGAGTGGTGAATTTGATTGTTTTCAATGGGCTTTCGAATCCCTTCCAGCTGTTCTGCTTTATTTTTACAGTTACAGATGTCTGCGCATACGCACTCTCTAATCAGTCGGATAACATTGCCTCTTCACAGCGCTGACTAGAGGTTTATTATCTTTTCCCGTTCGTTCCCAAGACACACGGGGCAGATGAAGTAGAGCTCATCTATTTCAGAGATTTCGGCATTTGAAGGGATAGTGTGGTCAGCACTTTGCCCAGCGGCCTTTGTTTTTCCCTTATTTGAGTCAGGTACCCATAAGAGCTGGGTGGGTTTATTCGTTCTATAGACTTGATGAATTCGGATTCGAACTCTACCGCTAGACCACGCCGTCCCATGTCTAGAGGTTAGAGTAACACTACATTTTCACAATGTTATGGCTGTCTGACGCAGGGTTTCATATACCTGCCACTACAGACATCTCGAAGTTTGAAACATCATTAGTTGTTATTTGATTATCATTTCTTTAAGCTAAACACAAAGATCAACACATTTTCATTTAGTTATAACATATTGCATTTATTTTAAAACAAAACAAATTATACATAGCAATACAACATAATCATTTGTAATAGGTGTAATGTATGTAATAACTCGCGTATTTGGCTAACCTTTCATTGTTTACAGTGTCTAACCAACGCGTGCTTTATGAAAGGAAGTAATGTGACGGTCAGTAGTTAACTGTTCGAATTGCACACCAACGTTGCACACGAATGGTGCACACTTTTGTAGCATCGCCTTACGATTATACTCATTTATGGCTGGCCTACCATTGTGTCTACATAGCCTGTCTGACTATATTAATTCCTTATAATTATTTTACACAGCCTTGTTGGCTACCCTCCATTAATGACTACAGTACCTTTTCAAACCTGAGGGTCCACGTGGAAGGTTGAAGTAGAGTTCACCTGTTTCGGTAACCTCGGAATATGAAGCCACATTCACTTCCCTTACTTGAGTAGGGTACCCATGAGAGCTGGGTGGACTCAAGGATGTTTTAAGGGCTAACCCGGGATTCGAACTCGAAATTTTCGTGTTAGCAGTCCTACGCTTTACCATCCGACCACGCCGTCCTCATCCATGGCTAGAGCTACCTTAATCCCTAAATCCCACTGTGGCTAACTTACGTTAGCTTATGCTACCACAATGGCTATCCTTAAGGCTAATTCACTTGGTGCTACAATTCCTTAAAGTTGTGTCTTGAACGCATACAAAACAACGTTTAAAAGCAAACTAGGTTTAATTTTTACCTTCAATGTAAACCTCTGAAACACCGAATTAAGTTTTGTTAGCGCAGAATATCATAAGCTGATGACAACTTAGTCATTTATCTTGACAAAAAACCAGACTTTAGATATCATCCAATCATACTTGGGAAAAAAAAGTTTTACAGAAACGTCACTCATTAATAGTTCAAAGGTTAAGGGGAATTCCCTAACCCATAACAAAACAGTTGAAGGGTGATTGTTATTTGTTTGTTTGTTTTTTTTTATCAGTACGATGTGCCTAAACTTTCTTCAATCACCAAATTTTCGTCCGAGGCGTTTTTCAGGATAGATTTGATGGGCGTAGGTTTAAGCGTTGGGTTTCTGACGTATTTTTTCCTTGGCCTTGACCTTGTCAGTTCCTTCTTGACATCGTCTGCCCAGTGGACTCGTCCGTTGGAAACCTGACACAGAAAGACATGATACTGGTTTAAAAGGTTTAATAAAAGGTCATCTTACAGACCTAACGATCCATAGGTGTTACGGGTCAGTTGTAGGTTAGATAGAAATAGGTTAGAATAATCTAGAATTAGGGGAGAGTGCGGGTGTGAGTTGAGTTTACCCTAGAGTATTGTTAACCCCGGTGTGTTTATGTATTGTTATCCCAATGTCGAACGCGGTATAAAAGTTGGAGTGATTGGTTGTAAGGGGTTAGTTGGTAGCGGTTAGGACGAGGGCTACTCTGTAATGTGAAGAATTGAGACCAAATAAAAGTATTGAAGATAGCTACGAATCGTTTCCTGAGTTGAACCAAACCCGGACGCAACAATAGAAACATGAAGCAGTTCATGTGTTTTGACCTCTTCATATTAGGGGATGGTAAGGTCAGCGTATGTCCAGCTGTAAATACTTTCCCTTACGTGAATCAGATACCCATCAGGGATGGGCGGGTTCAATGATATCCTGCAGTTCAGAGTCCGGACCGAGATACGAACTCGAGACCATCGGGTTAGCAGTCGAGCTCTCTACCCCTCTACCACGCCGTCGCCAAAATACTTCTGCTCATTTTATGATCTGACAACGCGACTGGATTATATCAAGCCGCAAAGCCTTGGCAGCAAGTAGAGAAGAGCCAGATTTTGCCCGTTTGTCAGCACCCCCCCCCCCCCATTTCTCTTCGCATATCTGATGGACCCAAAGGTAAGGGTAAAATATAAAACTCGGCATTATGTTCTAAAACTTCGAGTATTATTGTCAGAATGTCAAAGCGCCATAATGTTTATCTGATTTAATTAAAGATAAATTATTTGTGATAACTTTTACGAATTTTAGTTTAAAATTCATTTTGAAAAATGATATTTTAATGGCTGTATTAGTGAACTGGTTCTTTTCCGTTATGAGGAACCAGAGACCAGTGTCAAACGATCAGTAACTTATATAAGATATGAAAAACTTTGACTAAACCCTCAGCAATGTCAGCCCATCACACGCCTCTAGCCGAGTGAAGAATGCTACAGTAGAGTGTTACCTTAAACTCTGATTTCAACAACATCCCATCACTAATGTTACCTTAAACTCTGATTTCAACAACATCTCATCACTAGTGTTACCTTAAACTCTGATTTCAACAACATCCCATCACTAATGTTACCTTAAACTCTGATTTCAACAACATCCCATCACTAATGTTGCCTTAAACTCTGATTTCAACAACATCCCATCACTAATGTTACCTTAAACTCTGATTTCAACAACATCCCATCACTAATGTTACCTTAAACTCTGATTTCAACAACATCCCATCACTAATGTTAAACTCTGATTTCAACAACATCCCATCACTAATGTTACCTTAAACTCTGATTTCAACAACATCCCATCACTAATGTTACCTTAAGCTCTGATTTCAACAACATCCCATCACTAATGTTACCTTAAACTCTGATTTCAACAACATCCCATCACTAATGTTACCTTAAACTCTGATTTCAACAACATCCCATCACTAATGTTACCTTAAGCTCTGATTTCAACAACATCCCATCACTAATGTTACCTTAAACTCTGATTTCAACAACATCCCATAACTAATGTTACCTTAAACTCTGATTTCAACAACATCCCATCACTAATGTTACCTTAAACTCTGATTTCAACAACATCCCATCACTAATGTTACCTTAAACTCTGATTTCAACAACATCCCATCACTAAATCGTCTGCTGGTCAGTCGGCCGTTGCCATTACTTTCGTCCATATTTGGCAGCTGACTTATTGCCCCTGATTCATACTGAAAAGCAAAACACATTTTATACTTCAAACCAAACCTATTTCACGGCTACAAGCCAAAATTAATATGTTATTTACTTAAAGTTAAACAACTTGTATATGCTGCAGACTATACACATATGCTGCAGGATATATATATATATATATATATATATATATATATATATATATATATATATATATATATATATATATATATATATATATATATATAAATATATATATATATATATATATATATATATTAATGTAAGCCTAAAACATAGTACACTAACAAGCCAAATGTTCTATACGCAGAGGCGTAGCGATAGGGGGGCGGGGGTGCGGTCCGCACCGGGTGACACCATTTAGAGGGGTGACACCAAGGCAAAAAATAGTAAAAATATATAGAGAAAAATTTGAGGGGGGTGCAAATCGAAAGTTTGAGAGGGGGGGTGCAAATCGAAAGTTCGAGGGGGGTGCATATCGAAAGTTTGAGGTGGGGGGGGTGCAAATCAAAAATTGAAAGTTTGTCCCCGGGAAGAGTCGCTATGCCTCTAGGGGGGGGGGTGTCACCATTAAGTCCCGCACCGGGTGACACCCCACCTCGCTACGCCACTGTCTATAGGTACTCTAAATTAAATACATTTTGTTTTGGCACACGAGGAAGTTTGTGTTTTCTGGCCAGTCAGGTGACACGTTCCGGTATCTAAAAAATAATTTAATTAAACTGCTTGTGTGTACCTCCTCGGCCATAGATTGAGACCACGATCTTTCTCTCTTCCCAGCGGCCTCCGCTGTTGCGTCATCTCCGCTGCTATCGCTGTCGTCCTCACTATCACCATCTTTTCCTCGACACTTCATGCACCGGCACTCGCTGTCCCCCTCCTTGTGAGACTTGCACGAGAGGTAGCGCAGGGCCTGGGAAGAATAGCATAGATATCACAGATACATAAGTATAGCATAGATATCACAGATACATAAGTATAGCTACAATAGGCAGAGAAAGCCCTTAATTGTGATGGAGGCGTGGTCGAGTCGGCAAAAGCTCATAGTTGATGAATTTGAAAAAGTCTCGGGTTCAAACCTTCTGGCAGATAAGGCTCGATCCCTTCTAACACTAAAAATTAAGAACGAAGAAGAAGAAGAAAGATTACACCTAATAGGTTATATCTTGTTGTATCCCATGGTACTCTTACATTGATACAATTGTATATTGCTGTATTATGGGTAGGCGTGGTCGGATGGTAGAGCGCACGACGTCTAACCCGAAAATCTCGAGTTTGGATCCCAGGCTTGAGTCTGCGTGACGTGCTTAAGTCCACCCAGCTCTGATGTGTTTACCTTACTCACATTAAGGAAGGTAATCAGCTAGGCCTAGTGCTGATCATACTATCTCTTTATATGCCAAGGTCATAAAACAGGCGAACTCTACTTCCACAGAATGGATCGCCATGTACGAAACGGTAACTTTATTTAATTTTCGTTACTATTTTTGTTTAAATATTACAACAAAGTGTTTAGCTTCCTCTGCGATTTGAAGGTTTCTTCTTACTGACAAATCGTCATACACTTTGACTTGCCACTGAAAGTAACTCGCAAACTCTTTTTAGTTTTTCCATAATACTTCGTCTTCGTTAACTCTATAGCATTTAATCAACATTACATGCGGTAAAATGCTGTCTACACACAGAATGCCCAAACGGGGAAATGCAGAGTTTGTTTCTTTCAGGCAGTCCACCCCCTTCCCTTTCTAAAGCAAGCCTATGTGAACACGATAGCTTGGTTGCCGTTGCATCTAGGTTGATGAAAATTCACATTTAACTATAAGATTGTATGCGCAGGTTTCTAACAAGTTTTTAACGATTTCCGGTAACCGGAATCAGTACTTTATTTACACAAGATCCCGATAATAAGTAGGCCTACTGTTTCATTTAGGTATAATAAATTTACTACATAAAGTGAATTTACTTTTAGTTCTTGAGTGACGTCAGATACATGCAGTGGTACTAAGCTCTGTGTCCGTTCGCTGGACGAAATTTCATATTTAAGTGTTGGCCCCAGGACGTCTTTATATTTTTATTTTTTTGAGCAATGTCCGGTAAACGGAAAGGGTACTCGACTTTTTCGATTTCTCAAAAGCTGTCAGAATTTGATAATTGTGTACCATATCCTGAAAAAGCATGAACGTTCCGCCTCCGTTTACACACGTAAATCGGTTTGTCACATACAAGCACGCTGATGTATTTATATGCCATTCATGCTTTAGTAATTTAGTTCCATCTCGTGTGGTTTTATTTTTTTTTTTTTATTTTTTTTTTTTTTTTTTATTTTAAAGTAAGAAAATAAATGAGAAAGTCCACGCACAATGAGCATACACTGAAGTTGAAGGTAATGTTTCGCTTCCCTAATGATTATGTATGTAATACTCCTACGGGTGTTGAATATAAATTAAACATTAATAAGATTTGTCTATTTGAGTAATAAAATAAAATTAGAAAATCTTAAAAATGTTTTAAATATGGTTTTCTTTTGTTAATATGTTACGTTAACAAAAATTAATTTCATTATTTTTAAATGTGTCTTTTTGTTTAATAACTTTTTGGTGCCTTTCTACAAGTTGTATCCCATGGTTGTTTTAATTTTTTGATGGGAAGTAACTTGCACACTTTAATATTCCATGTTAATCACATCTGCTTTCCAGCATGCAATGTATTTTTTTTTAATTTAAAACGATGACGTAATATATAATAGTATCTTTGATTATCGATTGTTTAATTCTAGTAGTATAAATGTATCTCTGTATTTAAAATTAATGCATGTTTGTGCGTGTATGTCTGTCTTTTATACATTATTACACCATTCATAAAATCGTTATGAAACTTTGGGAAGTTGTTGAGTACGCTCAATCGAAGATTTCTATGGTTTTTTTTTAATATCGGAAGGGCGGCGCCCCATCTGTAGTATGCGGGTTGCGTCCCGGGTTGCTCAAGTGCATCTTAGCCCCTGGGGTCCGGTTGATTGGGCGTACAGCACAAGGTACTAGGTACTACTTTAATCAACGGTCAAACTGCACTAGAAGCGTTGTCTGACGAGATGGCATTTAACGAGCGTCCCAAGCTTACCCATAAGTACTATGACGCCTACATTTGTTTTAAAGAGCGCACTACAACAGTGATAGGACCCCATTAACATAACCCCATTAACCTAGCCCCATTAACATAACCCCATGAACATAACCCCATGAACCTAACCCCATGAACATAACCCCATTAACCTAACCCCATTAACATAACCCCATTACCCTAACCCAATTAACATAACCCCATTAACATAACCCCATTACCATAACTCCATTAACATAACCCCATTAACATAACCCCATGAACCTAACCCCATTAACATAACCCCATGAACATAACCCCATTAACCTAACACCATTAACATAACCCCATTAACCTAACCCCATTAACATAACCCCATTAACCTAACCCCATTAACATAAGCCCATTAACCTAACCCCATTAACATAACCCCATTAACATAACCCCATTAACATAACCCCATTAACATAACTCCATTACATCAGAACACGTTGCCAGAGACACCTTTACCTTACTTCAGACCCCTATTACCTTAGACCCCATTACCTTGAATATACCCCCATTATCTTCGACCCCCAATTAACTTACCTCTATGTAGTAATAATCCACGGGTACTGTCTTGTTATTGTTATCCACAATCGTCGTGGCTGTGTCGGATTTATCCATAGCAGACCTCACACTCTCTTTACTGGATAACATTTTGTTCACCAGATTTAAAAAAAAAAACACAACTTTCTAAACTTTCGGAAAGTAAATAAGTCTAAATCCACCAACAACCGTTTAAATCCACAAACAGACACGTGTATCCACTAATAAAGTTCTATATCCAACAATAAATGTCTAAATCTACCATAGAAAGACAATAAACAATACCCATCCGTGTATTTGAATAATTATATTGCTACAAGTCACCAATGTTGACTGTGAATTAAATAATTAATTACTAGAGTTGATCGGAATGTTAATTGATAAAATAAGCCTTCAAAACTATTATAAAAACTTTCCACAAGCAATAAACATTAACAACTTTTTATTGTTTTCATTGAATTCCCGTGTTAATAAACAATGGCAATAAACCAATTGCTTTTACAATTTAGAATAACAATTTTCACATGTAATTATAGAATCTTTCTTAGTATCCGAATAAAAATGAATCAAGAGTTTATTTCCTTTTCTTTCCTGATCTACGAACTGTTTTCGTGGTTGTTGACTAAAACACGTCAAAACATTTGTAGGAATATGTTTATAATGCACCTATCCACTCTTACGTTCGAAATTATGACTTCAATCAAAACTTAAACTTATGCGCGTACTATTTAGTTTTTGTTATTATATTCATTCACATACGCCGGTCAACAATTTGAATAGTCGCCGTTGAAGTATAAGCCTCTACTGTGTATTTTTGCTTCTTTCAATATCCTCTGATCTGGATAAAAAAAATAAAACGCTTTTGTATGTTCCTTACAACAAAAAAAACCTTCGCACAAATCGAAACGTCTCGGCCGTTATGCATTCACAGTTCGAATGCTGTTGAAAGTTGGACCACCGTTCGATTAACAAACACTTCGATCCAGGTGATCGAAGCATGCAATAAATAGTCGGGTGGCCAGATTTTTTTTCCTCGTCTCGCTGGCCGGGTGTCCCTTCTCGTCTGCTGGAACGCGGTATCGTCTGCTAGGGATAATTACTTAATTATGCTGGAACTGGTAAACAGTACTGTTGGTGTGTGTGGGGGGGGGGGGGGGCTTAAAGGGATTGTACGTCTGGAAATAGTAACAATGAAGCCGCACCTTTTGGAATGCACCCTACATTTTAAACTGCTACAACTGAACGGTTTTGTTGACAAAATTGACAAAATAAAAGGGGCGGAGCTATTCTTGGGTAAAAGTGATTTAAACGTGGCAAATTCGACTGTATTAACCGTAATTGCGTGTGTAGTTGTGTATTCGACGGCAGTAATTATTTAGTTAAGTTGGGAGTGGGTGTCTTGATTCGGCTGCGTTGATGCCTAGGGTTAGGTAAAAGGTTAAGAATCGATTACATGTAGTATTCGGATATGTCGATACGTCTAATATAAAGGTGCCCCTACATTGTGTTTTCACTTAATAAAAGCTAGGTTTACTTTATATCCGTCACGATACCTGCCCGTGGTATTTGTATTCGATATAGAGGTAGATACCTATAGAGTTTACCGTGTAATGGGCAACACTATTTTCAAAGGTTTAATTGAAGCAGCTTTAGTCTCTGTGTCATGTTTTAACTAAAAAAATCCAGGTTGTCTAGGCAAGTGCTATAACTTTTAATAGTTAGCTTAGTGCTACAATGGATTTGTATTGGTGTCCATTTCTAACTCCGGGTTGAGGTTGTTTGGGCTTTGTTTTTGTCGTCTTTTGAAGTGTAGTTGCTTCCCTAGTTGGTAGCTTAGCTGCATTCTTAGTTGGAGTTTTTGTTGGTTGCTCGGTATTGGAGCCTGCAGTGTAGGTAGCGCTGGTTTTTGTGTTGGAAGTTGCTGTTTGGGCGTTGTCTCTGGGTTTTTCGCTGCATCCTTGGTTGGAGATTTGTGTTGGTTGCTTGGTGTTTTGTTTGGTGTTTCCACTGCAGTGGCGTAGGCAGGGAGGGGGGGTTAGGGGAGGTCATAACCCCCCCCCCCCTCCATAGACCCCTCGGTATATATATATAAAGTATGAGGGGGGTGCAAATCGAAAGTTTAGGGGGAGGGTGCAAATCGAAAGTTTGAGGGGGGGTGCAAATCGAAAGTTTGTTCCCGGGTAAAAATTGGAACCCCCCACCCCTTGAGACGATCCTGGCTACGCCACTGTTCCACTGTAGACGTGTTTGGGGTTGTTTGCTCGTTCGTGGAGGTTGATGGCTCGCTTGATGGTGCATTTTGTGCTATTGAGAGGTTTGTTCTTTGGCACTGGTTCGTGCAATGTAGGTTGGAAGAGCAGATTTGGCAGGCTTGTTTCCTTCCAGCTATTGCGATGAGTATCTTGAGTGTGTTGTCTTTGTAGTTTATTTGTATGTAGTGTGGGATGGTTGTTGGATTGTCAGTGTAGATTGAGAAGCTGCGATTGTTGGTGTGTGGGATTGTGCTTATGAGAGGTTTTTTGTTGCTGCAGGGGCGTAATGCTTGCATAAGAGTGGCGTTGTTGAGTGTGTGGGGTACCCATCTAGGGGTCCCATTGATTTTGTGTTTTTTTTTCGTGTAGTGTGAAGTGCAGTGCGTATGGACCATGAGTTTTGTGTGTGTTGTGCAACGTGGTGACATCGAAGGCTTGCGAAGCGAAGAACCATGTGTCCGCTCTGCCATAGTTTAGTGACTGGATCTGCTGGTTGCTGATTAGCTGTCGAATTATGTGTCCTCTCAGGTTTGGTTGGCCATTTGAGATAATGCTCACTTGTATGGTGGGTGTTTCGGCTGGAAACAGTTCTGGCAGTTTTCCTGTGGCAGGTTCAGGATTGCAGTTGACTTGGCTGAAGGGGGTTGGGCCCAGGATTTCATTGAGCCATCCGAGCCGTAGTCCGGGTGGCTCCTCCCCGGGTCTCTCGACCTAGGGGGGTCATCCAAGGGCGCAACCCCTTTGCTGGCGATGATGATATTTGCATATGTCGTCTTGGAGGATGACATCGTTGAATATTGAGGTGACTCCACGGAAATCTTTAGTAAAAGGCGAAAGATTTACTCGGTGTGAAGAGAAACCAGTAAGTAAGTATGTTTGTAATTTGTTTGTCGTGGATTACTTTTTTTTTTTTTTGCCGCTTGGCGTTTAATAGATTTCCTCACTTGCTGTCTACCCTGTTCGCGCAGGGAGGCAGCAAGAGTAGGTTGCATGATTATATACATACATGAAATATTATACATATTTAAAAGGATTTAATTCTTGCTTGTGTTATTTCCCTTGTGTTTCTTGATTCACTTCTGGTTTCTTTTCGTATTTCTATATTTTCCTGTTTCCTTGATTTACTTGTTTTCACTTCCGGTTTCTTGGTTTCTTTTAAAATAACATAAAGTACATGACAAAAAAAACATGATCGCTTATCGTCCTTTGGCCTTTGTTCTTGCACGTGATACAATCTTGGTTGGGTAGTGGTTTCTTCTTGGTTGGTAGTTGTACTTTGGGAGTGTTAGTGAGGGATGTTCCGTGGTTGAGGCGTTGATCGATGCGTTGGTGAGGCGACGAGTTTCGTGTGTTGTCTTGATGGTAGTATTGTTCGATGGAGTGGAGCTTGGAGAGAGTAGCGAGCATGTATTTGAGGTGAGCGATGTGTCGAGTGTTTATTTTAGGTAAGTTGAGTAGTTGGTCTTTGAGAGGCAGTTAGTTGATTTGCTAGTGTTTGACGTAAGCCTCCCACCTAAGATTTCTCCTAGGTGGGTGTCGTCAGAGTGGTATTGAGTTTGTTGGAAGCGAGGTAGATGCGTTTGACGTATTAGGTGAGTTCGATTTGTTGAGCGAGGTAGTTGCGTGTGACGTAGTAGATGAGTTCAATTTGATGAGCGAGGTAGTTGCGTTTGACGTAGTAGCTGAGTTCGATTTGTTGGCGTTTGTGACAGACCTCCCACCTAAGATTTCTCCTAGGTGGGTGTCGTCAGAGTGGTAGTGAGTTTGTTGGAAGCGAGGTAGATGCGTTTGACGTATTAGATGAGTTGGCGATTGTGACAGACCTCCCACCTAAGATTTCTCCTAGATGGGTGTCGTCAGGCTGAAAAAAAAGAAGGTAAAAATTAGCCACTCGTACATTGAAGCCACCCAATACAAGTACTGGGTGACTCATCTCGAGAGCATGTGCGTTCGAGGGATGTGTGGGAGCAACCCCACAGCGGTCGTTGGCGAGATTTGCGTGAGTTAGAGTAGTAGATTTGACCGCCTCTCGGCCCCGGCAGCCAGCCCTAAGGGGGTCTGACCAACCAAATGGCTAAGATCCGTGTAGATCCATAACTATACTTTGATCTTAGCCAAAAGGCTTACAAAGGAATATGTTTTTTTTTTTACTTTTATTTGCAATTTAAAACAAGTGCAACAACATCAGCATATTTTACATTTTTCTAAATGTTCTTTAAAAAAAACATATCAAGATGAATTTACAAATGTATACACCTTTTTTACTAAATTTTATCATCTAATGAAACCATTTTGTCCTGATGAGCGTATTAATAACAAGTATATACATGATTATCATATTTGTTTTATATATGTTGTTATATAAAATTTTAAGGGATAATCAGTAAAAGAGGTTAAAGTAAAATGATAGTGTTGGAATCGGGCTGAGGAGGGATTGACAAAACTTGTTTAAGTGGTGAGTACAGCGTGTCATATTTGAAGAGTTGTCCTTAGTAGTATAGTAGGTCCCCCAAGTGGTATATTTTGTGCAGACATGTTTATATAGTAAAATATTGAGCAGCCAGAGCAGACATGTTATATAGTAAAATACTCCAGCTAGGGGTAGGGGCGGGTGGAGGTAGCAGGTGGTCCACTCCTTCTATTGTCTTCCGTGACGCTCCTTTACTGCCGCTGGGGGTGGGGGTGGTGGGGGTGGGGGTGGTTGTAGGGGGTGGGGAGGAGAGACAGGTGGCTCCTGCCTCCCTTTATGTCCCGCGACGCCCCAAAGTTTATCGATTTTTTTTTTTTTAAAGTTATGTTTAAATAGTCATTAAAAATAATCTATTTAATAAGGCTTGACTTTATCCATTATTTCTTATGCAATTTATCTATAAATACCCGTTATTAGGGTGTGGGGGTGTTGGTAGGGGGTGGGGAGGAGAGACAGGTGGCCCCCCCCTTTATGTCCCCCTTTATGTCCCGCGACGCCCCAAAGTTTATCGATTTTTTTTAAAAGTTATGTTTAAATAGTCATTTAAAATAATGTATTTAACAAGGCTTGACTTTATTCATTATTTCTCATGCAGTTGATCTATAAATAGCCGTTACTACCAGTCTGTTTTTGTCCTCTGTTCTTTATCTAGTCGTGTTAA